TATATATATATATATATATATATATATATATTTCATAACAATAAATACTCACGCACACTCGTACATTGATTTTTATATTTTTATACATGTGTATATATTTTTGTATCAATATATTGATAATTGTATTTCCATATATCACAGTATGTCCGGAAGTGAATCATACATCACCTATTCTCGTACACTAGCAGATGGACTCCATTCAGTCGGTCGAGGCCGTGCTGGCTGAGTTTTTCCAATGCACAGACGACACACGACGCAAACAACTGGAGAGTGGGCTGGTAGAGTCTATGAGAGCACCCAATGCCTATATTCGCTGCTGTCAGTTTCTGTCGCAGAGCCGAGACCAGCGTGTTGTGTACTACTGTAAGCGATTGGTGTATTTGTATGACGAGTACTTTTTCTTGGCCTTACTTCTTGTTATGTTCTACATATATACATCACAAATGTTCTCTATCCATGGACGTTTTCTTGTAGGCTTGCTGGTGTTTGAGGAGGTGATTCTGCGTCAGTGGCAGACACTGAACGCAGACAGTCGCCTGACTGTGCGGAGGTTTGTGCACGAGTATCTCAGACAGAACTACACCACTCTTGCCATATCGCAACGGAACAAGATAGTCAAGGTTAGTGTAATAAGATTTACATCATGTATAAGGCATTTGTAGTTGATTCTTCTGTATGTCATGCGTGCTATCTATCTGAACGTCATCGTCCTACACATATCATACTTCCGTCTACAATGATACATAGACCATAGTGTGGCGTGTGCAGCGGTTTGGTTGTATAAGCATGTGTGCACGAGTACCTACGACCTAACTACACCACCCTGAACAAGCCCAGAGCAACTGGATAGTCAAGGTTCGTGTGCGATCTTCTCTGTTCATCGGCGTATATCGCTACGTTGCCCTTGTTGGTCTTGTACGCAATCTGTCACAAGTCAACACGCTTTGTATACGGGTGCTACATGCTGCTTTGGGGTCGTTGGATGTTAAGCTTCTTTACAAATGCCGAGTGTATTGATTACGACAGGACAACCCTTCATGCAGGGATACTGGCTTGTATCACCATTTAGTGTGTGTAGGTGATTCTGGGATGAGAATGTATATGCGTGTGTGGTATATAGGGGTGTCTGGGCACTTCGTGGGTTACAAGCTATTGTATCAGGATAGGTGGCATACGTGCGGGCTTCACTGGCACAGGTGATGATTGATATAGTCTATAGCAGAACTGCACGTACATCGCACACAATAGGTGTGCGTATCATAAGTCAACACAAATAGGATTGGAGAGGGGTTGTGACATATGAACAGGCATCTGCACATTTCTATATATAT